ATTACACAACTATACTTAATCTCAGACTCATACTTCTATTGGTAAGCATATTTCTACCAGAAATTATTCTCTACTTTAAACATCTTCATGAGCATAGAGAAGCTCTAGCACGAGTGAGATAGATAGTTGCCATTGCTACGTGCATCAGCACTCTATAATAAAAGTGGAGATTCTTTCCCCTTGTGAAAACAAAGCCAAAGTCATCTAGTGTAATTAATGCAGCCATGTCATGGAGGGGAGAATTTTGTACTGCCTGCTGCATGATCAGCAACTGTTCTGTGACAATGTTAACTATTCTAACCAAACAGAAAAGGCCCCTTTATATGCAGCTTAGCTCAAGCAGTGAAATGAATACAGACAGGACACAAATTATTACAAGACATATTTATACAGCAGGGAGAATTCATACTGGACAACATTGTTCCAAGTTTGCCACAGTGTTTTCATAAATCTAGCCCCCTATGGCAGATGCCTACAGAGACTTGACCCTAAATTACCTAATTAAGCAAACTATTCTAGTTTCTGACTGACCTTACTGGTAGGACACACATTGCTGTCCAGCAGCTGAGCTAAAACGTTATGTACATCTGAGATGACATTTATCTCAAGGAAACTTGCCAGACATATTCACAGACATAAATACTGTAACCTGTTACTTATTATTTGAAGAATAGGAATATATTTTATGATCCAAATAGACAAACTGGAGGGGATTCAAAGCAGAGGAAGCTTTTTTTCCAAATAATTTTTTCAGAGATGGAAGGGGAGAGAAAAGCATGCATAGTTTGCCTGAGTAAGGTTTGTCCTCTCATCCCTCCTCTGCACCATCTGTGCATCCACAGACTCTGCACAGGCTGTGAGAATGCAAGAGGCTGAGCAGAAAGTCGTCTCACAGTGATCCTGCACTGGGCCACCACAAGGAATCTCCTGGCCTTGACATAGTTGTTACACCGAGGGGCACTTTTACAGCCACTTGAAGCTTGCTCTACCAAACTGAGACAGTGCTGTGGAAACTGGTGTAATGTAGAAACAAACTCTGGGCTGGTTACATTATGTGGAGGCTATTGTTGAGCTCTGTAACAGCCCAGCTTGACACAAAAGAAATGTAAAGCGCTCTTTATCTACAATCCACCCTCCCACCCGCACTGTGTTGGCTCCACAAGAGGACAAAATAATAGTGTCTAAATTGTTGAAAGAGAGAAAAATTCAAAGCTGATGAGAATTCTCTAAGAAGGGAACAAGTATTAGAAGTTCCAAAAGTAGTAGTAGAATATTTTAAAGAGAGATTTTAAAGATTAGGTTAGGTAAAGCTTCCCAGAAGTGAGATACAAGGAAAATCTGTGGTGAAAGAACCTCAGCTTGTGAATTTAAAGGCAAACCAGTGAAAGCCTTCAACAGAGCAGCTCCTCAAACAGCTGGGATACTTCCTAGTGCTCCTGGCAGAGAGAGGCAAAATCTTTACTTTGTCTCATGTTCTTTAATCTGGGAGTTACTTCTTTCAGGAAAGGAGTCCATTCCTTCCCTTCACTACCTCAGGTACTGTTCATGAATTTCGTCAACAAAGGAATAGCTGGCTGGAATATTGACCCTCTCCTGTTTCTTGGCTGGACAAACTGTCTACTGGGAAATGCTGCTTTTCAGTGTTTTTCCTCAGAAATATGGGCACTAGTTCTGAATTCTTCAGCATTTCTCAGACATGGAGGGGATCAACACCAGGCACCAAGAGCCACAACCACAGATACAGTGCTGTGGCTTTGTGGTTAGAAGCTGGAATCATTTGCCCCAGAGTTCTCAGTGCCCTGTAACTGCTTGAGCTAGAAGGCCAAGCTGCTAGCAGGAGCAGGGAGAAGAGCTTTCATCTTCTGTGGAGGTGGAGTGGTTCTTCCATTGTCTGAATAGCACTGTTACACATCCTGTAAGAATTTCTATGTGAAGGGTAGTGAGGTATAACGGGGTATGATTATTGTATGTGACTGGATCAAAGAAGGAAAATGTGTGTATGGGATTGCGTATGAATGTTTTTATCTAAATCAGTTTTATTTTGCTAACACAGGCTGTTGGCGAGTCATACACTATTTTCCAGGGCCTACAAAAGATGGCTGGGAAAGGCATAGCTACTGGGAATAAACTTAAATTTGCTGCACTGTGATCTGGCTCTCCATTAGAAAATCTTTAAGAGTGTCCATTCTGCAAAAAGTCTGAAAGCACCTAACCTACTTAGTAAATGGGCTCTATTCAAGAAGAACAGGATGGAAAAAGTAATAGCTGAATAGAAAAAAACAGTGACCTAGAACCCAGCATGCCTCTGAAGGGAGAAGATAGTATCTTAGCTGACTCCACCTCCATCAAAATGCTAGGGGTTTTCGCCAGATCTGGGAACTAACACATCACAAGATACAAAGAGTTAAGTGACCTGCTCTTTGGAGCAGAAGGGATGAAGGAGGGGAGAAAGCTTTAAATAAGATTTGAAGAATTCTCCCCTTTAAGGCACTAGGAGAGAAATATTTTGTGAGTTAGGGGCCGGGATTAGCTGGTCAGACCCTAAAGCAGGACTACTCAAGCAATGGCTCCAGCACAGCTGCAAGGCAAACCAATTTTGATGGGGCTTTGCCAAAGTGTGGGGCAAGAACAAATAATAAAGGGTGGCTAGCTGCAAGGAGGAACCGGAACTGGGAGCTATGACTGCTCTCTCCTCTTCATGTCCACATGTACATCCAAGGTCAGAGACGATCTCATCAGAAATTGTGTAGCTCTGCCCATAGGTTTCAAGGCAGGGACTGTAGGGGATCTGGTCCCAAGATGTTCTGTTCTACTGTTCTGTTTCAAGGTCTGTTCTGAGTCTTTAAGAAAATTGGCACTGCCATTGCTGCCAGCAGAAGCAGAGCTGCCTTGTCAATGCTGGCCTGCTGATGTATTCACAGTCTGCAGGAGGGGAAACAGGGCCCTGTGGAAGAATAGACGTGCATGATTCAGTACTGGTTTATGGGGATGGTTAAAAGACTTGATAACAAAACTCAGAGGATGCTCAGTGAGGCCACAAGAGGTCAAAAGTGTGTGTAAATCAGGAATCGTGACACCCTAGAGGCAAGAAAACAAGACCTTGTTTTCCCGGGGAAAACAAGCTGTTGAACACAGCTTCCCTGGGAATATCTATTATTTAAACTCTCTTCTCAATTCGGCTTGCAGAGAGACAAGGACAGTTGAAAACAGCTCTGCTGAGGTCTTTATGGGACTCTGCCTGCATTATGATGTTGGAGTTTGGCCTTGTAGTGTAAAGCAGTTGTTAGAATATATTTCTACTCTCATTCCTGCCAAATCTGGTTCTGCAAGTTAGTGCTGTGGAAACCTTGTGTAAAGCAGTTAGCACACTGGGAACAAAAAGGTTAACCTCTTCAAATTTTAGAATGACTAAAAATGACCAGCCTCCCTTCTGACATTTGAGGACCAAAGATCCCAAGAGAAATGTGATGATGATTAGCAGGGAGTAGAAGGTAAACAACATGGTTTGCTTTGCACTGAAGTAAACTTTTTTGTAGTCTCTGCGACCACACTGAGGTCTCACAGTGGCTGACCGGACTCATCTTTGTACATGGGCCATCGGGTTTACTTCCTAACGTTGCAAACTCAGTGTTATATTTTTACATACGATCTAGAACATAGAAATAATTGGTATCAGTAATGTTGGAATGTTACATGCTACTAAGCTGGAAAAAAAGAAAGGTAGCAACAGAAAGCTTCCCTTTGCTGTAACTTTCATAGTCTGTTGCTACTATTCCTTCTATGTTGTACATGAAAGCTGTTTCACCCCCAGCTGACACTCACGGAAACGTAATGCTGTCCTCAGCTTCATAGCTGAGTAAAACTCAGTTTCTGGTGCTTACTGGGGCAGTGCATTCACCAGTGAAAAGGGATCAAAATAAAGCAGCTTCAGTTCAAGTTGAAACTTACAGTTTCAAGCAGGACAATGTGGAGGCAGAAAGCTGAAAAAGTGAGCTCTGCCATGTCCTCTCTCCCCTGAGAGGAGGGATGTCTGCCCTGGTCCAGACATCCCACACTGCAGCAATGTCAGCATACTCTTAGTGTAAACAGGGAGTCAAGTCCACTGGTATCGACATGTACGTTGGTATTTTAGGCTTCTGCAACTTCGGCTCTAGATGGAGAGGGGTGAAAATGAGGGCAGAGTCAGGCCCAATACATTTGCCCTGGCTAGAAGCAGAAACCAGGCCTTCAGCATTTCATTCAAGCTACACAGCAAAATCCTTCAGTGCAACCTATTCCAAATGCGTGACACTCTCTGCAGAAATGAGACTGGGCATGCCTGCCAGGAGCCTTGAGGCGGATACTCTCTCCCATTTACCAAGGCACTGCATCATCTCGTAGACTGAGCCATGTTGTTGCCAGTATTTTCAGATTCGCCGAGATGCATCAAAGCCCCTCCAGCAGAGACACTGAACTGCACAGCCTGCCACCGAGAGATTTACTGTCTCTTCAGCATATCAGGGGGAACAGGCAGTGTACACACACACTCATACACGCGCGCGTGCGCACGCACAGCCTGAGGGAGGTAAGTCCAGCCCCCAACAGCGGGGCCATCCTTCTGCTGCTGGATTTTTCCAGCCAGAGCATCTTGCCGGCTCTGCTGTAATTTATGGAAATTGGTTTCTGACGTGGGGCTTTTTCTGTTACGACAGGGACCCACCGACTGGAGGAGGCAGAGCTGCAGTCAGGGCAGAAGAGAGGGAGAGGAAGAGGTGGGGAGCAGAGGGACACCCGGGGAGTGGAGAGGACAGAGGGAGAAAAAGGCACAGAGACACTTCAGAGATGGGTGAGATATAACTAAGGGAGCAGGAAGAAAGGCAGAGAAAGGGAAAGAAGGAGAGCTGTGGGGAAGGGAAAGGAGCTCAGAGACTGAGTCAGCCTCAAGAGGGCAAACACCAGGAGACGAGTGCAGGGAACACCCCAGCATACCAAGAAGGACCTGTTCTGTCTGAATCTTCACCATGAGCACAAGGAAGAGCTGCCCCCTGCCACTGAGGCAAGAAGACCAGGAGGAGAAGCGGAGTGAGGGTACTCCTGACCTGGAACGACAGGAATGTGAGGTGGAGCTGAGGAACAAAGCTATTCTGCAACAGAAGAGGCGCCTTAAACAGGCCACCCAGTTTGTGCACAAGGACTCTGCTGACCTGCTGCCCCTGGATGGCTTGACAAGACTTGGCACCTCCAAGGATCTGGTGAGTCCAGTGGGACCCCATTTGGGAAGGGGTCCTCCTAATAGCCTTCATCCCAGTTGGGAACTCCTGCCAGGCTTTGTGAAAGGGTCATGGGTTCAGCAAAGATGAAACTTCCCTTCAGCATCATCTAGGAGCAGGTCAGGGTGAGGGGAAAGAATGAATTGCCCATTTTTTGCATCCATCTTCCCATGCATCCCCATATGGACCAAACTCCTCACGGAGACAGGCAGACATGGACTGGAGGGAGTCCCTGGGATCCAACTTCCCACTCACCTGGTACATAAATACGTTCATCTGACATGTATGTTTACATGTGGGACATCTCTGAAAGCTCTCATGTATCCCTGCATGATCCAGCTCAAAAGCAGACTCCTTCCTGGACTCAGCACGGAGGGGAGCACAGTTTATGAAACTCCAAGAGGCTTATGTTTGACCTTGTCACCTTTTTGCATTATTCTTCTTCCCCCCACTCTTTGGATTTCTGGAGGGGCAAGCACATGGCAAGATTGCTAGCCAGGCAGCTGCAGTGGCCAGCACCCGTGGATAACACCTTTGGGGAGGAGGCACAGGAGTGAGGCCTGTGGGCATCTCCTTGTGGAGAAGTGGAGCAGGAGGCATCAGGGAGGGGATCTGTTCCAGGAGCCTGGGCAGTTCGTGGTCTGGAGGGACCTCCCCAAGGCAGGCAGCAGTTTTCCACGGGATCTCTTGCTGGGATAACTGCATGCATCTCCTCCTTGCTGTGGCAGTTTTGCTGTCTAACTTCTCTCTGTTGTGGAGTTTAACTGCTCAAGGATGTGGAGGTCTAAACCATTTTCCCAAAAGAGGGCCTGGGTCTGGCCAGTGATGTGGACACAACCACTTATTCCAGCTGTGCCAGTGGATATCATAAAAGATCTTGCCCCTCCCTACAGCCCGTGTTTCCCTCTGTATCCTCAGACCATCGCAGCAACTGCATGGATGCTCATGCTTCTATATCTCCTCCGGCCATTTCCCGGCTCCCATGGCAGGCCCCGTGGCTGCCGGCAGCGAGGCACTGCTGCGCACAGGGGCACATGTGTGCAGGACAGGCAGGGTCCCAGGCAGGGTCCCAGGCACTGGGCCTGAATGGAAGCTATCCCCCTCGCTGAAACCTTCGGGTGCAGCAGCTCTGCTGTGCACAGACGAGGGGTCAGTGCCACGTTCCCATGCCAGCGCACCCTCCTGCTCCCGCCACCCTCCCCGCAGCCGCCTCGGCTGCTGCTGAGAGCCCCTGGCTCAGCAGGGTCAAGGGTGGCTCCTCAGAGTCACCCTGAGCTGTCACCTCGTGCTCTGCCAGCCCTTCACAGCCGCGTACACAGCTTTCAGCACAGACTAGTCTTGAGCGTCCTTCTGGCCCTGAACACAGTCACTCTCTGAAGTACAAGAGGGGAGTCACATAAGTGTTGTGTTAGCAAGGGACAGGGCCTCTCCTCCCTGCAGGGAAGGAGGTCTGGCCACACCAGAGCCTGGAGGGCCCCGTTCAGGCTGGCAGCGCAGGCAGGCTAGCACCGGCCCTTCAGGCTCTGCAGTGTTGCAGCCGAAACATCTCCTCAGGAGGGGATAGCCAAACATACCCCTGGGCTCTTCCTTGTACAGCTTTTGGCAGGGAACGGGGAGGAGACACTTTTGAGTCTTTCAGTGTGTGTTTGCTGAGCCCAGCCATGAAGGCAGAGAGAAACATGTCTACCTGCTTTGCTTTGGAGTTGACTCCTGTCACACCATGCCCCCAAAATGACAACCACGGTGCCAGCCAGAGTTCTGCACAGTACGGGTGGCAGTCTTGGCCTCCAGAGGCTGGCACTCTGAAGCCCCAAATGCTTGCCATCTAGCAAGACAGGCCTTGTCTGAATAGCTTGCCATGAGCAGCTCTCCTGGTCGAGTTAACCATTCTAAGCAGGAGACTTCCTCGCATGCAGACGGCGTTCCGTCACTCAAAACCACTGCATAGTTCATGTTTGGTCCATAACAGAATGGCTGAAACATTTTTACCATGAAGCTAGGGAGCACTGAATAAAGTATAACATCTTTTCTGCCATGGAAATTTTGCACTGGTGTTAGAAGGCACAAAATAAAGTGTGGCACCTGTGCAAAGTTCACACACATAGTGCCATACCTGGGGTCAGTGCGGTAGCTGCGGTACCTCTGTTTCTGGTTTACCTTGGAGCAAGAGAAGAACCAGGCCTTAGATTTCCAAGAGCAAATCAGCAGTCCCTGCAACTTGATGGGCCACTGTGATATCACTGTGATGTTTTGGGGGCTGCAAATTAGAGTCCAAAATATGCTTTCAGGCGCTCTTCCAGCCCCCATGCCAAACTCCATCTATGTTTCCTAAATTGGTCTGGCTCCCTCCTGGAGGACAGGAATGCAGCACTGCAAACAAAGCAGCAGCAGGAAGTGCTAGAGAGGTTGATCTTGGAGAGAGTGCAAAACACTCGAGTCCTATAGCACTTACACTGGGAGAAGAGTTTAATTAATTCCCCAAAACATAACTCCACTGACAGTGCCAGAGACTCCAGCTGTGGCAGCCCCACATGTCCTAAAAATTGGAGCAAGGCCCCATGTAATTTAAAAAAACTACATGTTTTCTTATAGAGTCAAAGTCAGGCTGTTACTTTTTGCCACTCTTTTCTGTGTATTCTGCGTGTGCATTCAGCTTACGCAATGCATCCAGCAGTGTATAGGATTTGATGCGCCCATCACATCTCCAACAATGAGCAATTATACATTTCAGTGGAGACCTCACATTTCCAGCTTTATAACAACTATAAGCATGACACTTTTTTTTTTTTTTAATTTACAAAAAAAAAAAAATATTTTGAATAGCTAAAATTTTTTTGAAGTACCAAGAAGGTCTGAAGATCTGGCTTCTATAACAACTATAAGCATGACACTTTTTTTTTTTTTTAAATTACAAAAAAAAAAAAAGTATCTGCATGAGCTAAAATATTCTGAAAGTACCAAGAAGGTCTGAAGATCTGGCTTCTCCCCTCACAAAAATCAAGATTCCCAGCTCATACCACTTCACTAATCATAGCAAGGCCTTAAGATTTCACATTGGAGAGCCTGAACCTGATAAGTTGCACTGGGAACCTGCTCTCACTCTTCTAAGAGTCCTGAAAGGGCCTCCCTTCCAGCTGCTGGCCACAACTCCCTTCAGGTCCTCTCTCACCATCCCCTTCATCTCATTGTTTCTTACCAGCCCAAGACAGACAACAGTCTCCACTTCTCTGTCTTGCTGGTGAGACAGAAGACAGGGAGGGCCCCAGGAGTCTATTCTTGAATCAGATGCCTCCACAGTCCCAAAAGCTCAACAACTCCCCATCCGTGCTTGGCCTCTTCCCAGCCTGAGTGACAAGAAGGAGACAGAGGTGGCAGCTGCAAAGGGCCTGCTCTTTCTGTGGGAAAGGTTGCAGGGAGAGGGAAATGTCCTTTGCACGCCAGATTGCGAGGGGAGACAGGAGGGAGGATGGGAATTTGGAGACCTGCTGTTGGTTCCCTGCCCTTTTCCCATGGCCCAGACCTTAGCTGGCAGCCAAACTGGCACTGTGCTCTGAGTATTTAGGGAGTGAAGTACAACAGCCAGCTGTGCTGTGGGCTTGCACAGTAGGCTGGGAAAAGACCAGGAACAGAGGGATATTTTTACCTCACTTTTTCAACTACTGCAGTGTCTCTCATGCAGCATGTGAACGATCTGACTTTCGCCCCTTGAGTGACGGGGAAACAAAGGCATAAGGGACACCTTGCAAAGAGCAATGCTGAGTGTAACCAAAGAGCCAGTAACAGCTCTCCCACTCCAGCCATTGGGCAAAACTGACAAGTCAGTGTGCTTTGAGTTGCAGTTTACACGCGTCCCTGGCCTCAGCCCCCTGACCAAGCATAAAGCTAGTCTGAAGCACACACACCCTGTAGGGTTAATACAGCCCAACTCATTGGCAGGTCTGGTCTAATTCAGATGTTCGGCCTGCACACTGGTAAGATCCTACATCAAACTGCTGCATCATCTGAAAGTTGATTTTTTAAATTTTTTTTTTTTTTGAAAGATAAAAGCAACGGTTTATGCTGTAGCACATTAGCCCCTTCAGATTCATTGCCTTTCTTCACATAGGCAGTTGTTACTGAGAATGCGATTGTCAACTCTGAGCAGCTGCTCTCCTGGAGAAGGGCCATGGGGCCAAGTACCTGGAGAAAGGACAAAGCTACCTCCAACAGGCCCACTTCATTGATGCTGCCCATTGTTGATTCAGTAGCTGTGCAGGGACTGCAGGCACTGGAGCAACACTGGGCAAAAACTACAGCATCAAGCTGATGACAAACAGAGCTTTCTTTCCAAAGCAACACTTTCCTGTGTGTGTATGCAATGTTAGGACAAGAAGGTTTTCACAATTTTTCTTGCCTTTTGGTGCACCTCCCCTTCTTCCACCCAGAAGAAAGGAGATAGGAATGAGGTAGGAATACGAGACACAAGATATGAACAGGACACATGAGATAGATAGGAATAAAGTTCCTTCAGCTGTTAATCTGGCTGATCATAGAATCATAGAATCGTTAAGGTTGGAAAAGACCTTTAAGAGCATCGAGTCCAACTATTAACCTGTTGCTGCCAAGTCCACCACTAAACCATGTCCCTAAGCACCACATCTACCCATCTTTTAAATACCTCCAGGGATGGGGACTCAACCACTTCCCTGGGCAGCCTGTTCCACTGCCTGACTACCCTTTCAGTGAAGAAGTTTTTCCTAATATCCAACCTAAACTTCCCCTGGTGCAGCTTGAGGCCGTTTCCTCTCATCCTATCACTTGTTACTAGGGAGAAGAGACTGACCCCCACCTCGCTACAGCCTTCTTTCAGGTAGTTGTAGAGAGCAATAAGGTCTCCCCTCAGCCTCCTCTTCTCCAGGCTAAACAACCCCAGCTGCCTCAGCCTCTCCTCATAAGACTTGTGCTCTAGACCCTTCACCAACTTCGTTGCCCTTCTCTGGACACACTCCAGCACCTCGATGTCCTTCTTGTAGTGAGGGGCCCAAAACTGAAGCTGATGGCATGCCTTCTAGCTGTGAACAACATAGGGCTTCATAGATGCTCCCCCAGCTAGGAAGGGAGTCAAAATAGTATCACTTCTGCTGGAGGGGTGCAGAGACAGACTCCAAAGAACATTAGATGCTAGTTTTAGTTTCCTATGCAGGGGAAGCTCCCCACTTCATTACAAATAATTGCTTGTACACCTAAAATTTCTGGAGTCCTGCCTGCTTACCCACATGTACGTCACGTGCTGCACGCCCCTTCCCCTCCCACATTAGAAGGTGTGAGTGTGCCTGGTTGGATGTCAGCACACAGCCACCAGGTAGTGTATTGCAGTACCGGAACAGGTATGATACTGCCAAGAGCATATTTAGCTGAAAGAACAGATATGTGTGGGAAGAGCATGCATCAGGCATGTTCTTCCCCTCCAACAATTGCATCCTGGAGACCTGCCTGCCACAGACAGCCCAACACTTTAACATCACCTTGTGGGTACAGAAAAGATCTAGGTATTTAAAGAAAGTTTTTTGGGATAAGCCTGTATTTCATCAGGATGATCAAGGTCAAGCATTTGCAATCTGCTTCCCTGGGCTAGAACACGTCCTTGTCCTTAGCTCCATACTTAGCTGGGATTTCTCTTTCTTTGTGATGGAGACAGCAGCCACATAGCGTGGTCCAGCGACGTCTCTTGGAAGGCAATCTGAACAAGCTGCGGCGTGAGACCAGGGTTCAGTCTGCATGGGTTCAATCTCCGCTGGCAAAAGACCAGGATGAAAAGATGGAAAAGGGAGAGGACAGGAGAAAAGAGACTTCATCCCTGCTAATACAGTGCCAGGTAAGGCAACAACACAGTGCTGCTGATTTCACAGTGATGGCAAATGCTCAATGAGTTCCAGCTGCCCCACTCCCAAGGGCCATGCTAAGTTATTAATTGCAAAGCCAGCTGCAGCTGGAGAAAGCAGATTTCCTGCATGGCCTCTCCTAGAGTTTGGATTCAGTTCTTCCAACAGACAGAGGAAAGCCTTTCTGCCACATACATTCTAGTTGTCCATATTTGAAGATAAATTACCTTTATCGCATCTCCTCCCTTTGAAGGCCAGCTTTCCTATGATATGAGGTATTTCCTAACTGCATACAGAAGCAAGGAATGTCTCCTTATCACTTTAAGACAGGTGCCCCTAGTTGATTTACATTTACTAGATCCAGTCTGGTCGGATTCTCTCAGGTGTCAAAGGACCTCCTAAGAAAGTGGCTAATTGTGCTTTGAATTAGTGTTGTTGCATTTCTTGAGGGAAGCAGTATTTTTAGCTCCCTTTTCTTCTTATATCCTCCTATACAGCAGAACACATTCCTCCCTGGCCCCTGTAGGTAAGAGAGCACATCCAAAAGCTGTGCCCTATGAAAGAGGGCTGCATGGTAAGAGCTGTTCAGTAATACGCAGATATGAGACTCACCAAGATATAGACCTGGTATACAAAACCCATTTTAAAGCTGTGTTTATTTCAGTTACCTGCCCTAAAGACATCTCACATGTTAGAGTGTGAAGTCTACACTTCCAGGAAAAACACATACACCTTTGAAAATTCAGTTGGCACAATTAATTATCATATGAAGACAGCCTCGTGGCAAGTTTCTGAAATGTTCAGATCAGGTGTCTCAGGACCACGCAAAGCCACTGTCTGGTTTGTTTTCCAGCCTTTACTGTTGCAGTTAGGCACTGCTTACCCTGAGTTTTAGACTCTGATGCAGCTAGGTTAACATAACCACACTTGGGAAAACAGGCTAATAGGATGAATGGCTCTCACTGTAATTTCTCCAAATAGCTGGAGTCTTTTTTTGAGCAAATGAAGGTGTTTCTTTTTCTTTAATCACTACTCTGTATTGTTCTGTAAGAGGAAACTCAATGATAAAGGGTGGGTTTTTGCCAGGCATGTACATCGAACAAGGACAGGCATGCATAGGTACCATATCCCAGGGGCAGTAGCTAACTCAGCGTCACAGTCCACTCCTAGTTCCCCTTTTGTGTTTCTAATGGACTGTACCCCAGCTGTCACACATTACATTTTCATTCATGGAGGAAGGTTAATGAACATCACAGTCAAGGAAATAGGTCTAATGCTGCACTTAACTCTCCCTGAACTCAGTACCTTCTGCGCAGGTATTTCTCTCTTTTTCTGCCCTTCTTAAAAGCCAGTCACTGTTTGTCACACTTTATCTTCTTACACCGAAGGAAGGGAAGCTCTCCTCTTCTTCTTTTTAGTCTTGCTGCTTTTCATGTTCACATTTGTAAACTTCAAAAAGCCTTGCCTGTAAGTAACAGATCTATGGCAGGAAAGAGCACTCAGGGTGCCAGTTCATTTTAACCAGAGAGGTGAGCTGGTACCTTTTGGAGAACTATGGTGTAGTTTTTATTAGAAATGGAACATGAACCCAGTGAAGTATCTTCTCTCTGACACCAGCTCCCGAGAAAAGATCATCTACCAGCATAAAGGTTCCATTTACACTCAGGCAAGTATGCTGAAAATTTCCAAGTGGTAACAAATGCATCACCTCACTAGTAACTGAACTTGACTAGGAAATAAAGCTGAAAATATGTAGACTTCAGTGACACAGGGAAATTCAGGCAATAAGTGTTTTCACTCTAGCAGGTTATAGTTGCCCTGTGCCTAAGCCCTTTTCAAGTTTCAGAGATCTCACACAGACCCAGTCTATAATAGTTGTACCACAGAGTCACTCACCCTCCTGTTTACTTAAGTGGGTTGCTCACATGGTACTTCAGCAGAATTGCCCCCTTTGGTGGCAGTTTTTGCAAAGCACTTTGCAAACTTTGCCATGACTGGCACTTGCATTGTAAAATCGAGCTGTTATTTTTTGTGGTGGGGCTTGTCTCTCGTTGACTTGGAAATAGATGCTGAAAGATTCCACTGCTGTCCAAGGCTGCTTTTCCTCCGTGCCAAAGCAACCTGGGATTAATCAACCTTGGTTGGTTAAAGCAGTTTCTTGACTTTGGAACCGACATTATTTCAGAAAACAAAGCTCTTTCTTTATAAATGGTGATCCTTCCTGATTCCCCTCCTCTCTTTCTCTTTCTTGGAAGTCCCCATAATTGACCTTTTTAGATAAAGACTAATGGTGACTGGTAGTAACAGACTGAAAATTCTGAGGCAGAGATGAGAGTGGGTAATGTGATGAAAAGTCCTATTAGTCCAAGAAGGCTTGCAGTGCTCATCAGCTGCCTGTGTACTCCTTACCTAATCTGCATTGTATTTGTAGTATGCTGGACCAAGGACTCTCCTCAGGCTCCTGGTGAGTTCTCTGGACAAATAGTTAGTAGTATAATTGGAAGATGGATAGCTGTTGCGAGGCTGGTAACTGTGCAGGGCTGTTTACCACTGAATGGGGAAATGTCGTTTTCTACAGAATAATCATTGTCCTGTTATATCCTAGCAAGTTTCTAACTTGCAACTTTCGGCCTGCTCTGAAACAAAACTGAAGAATCTGCCTAGTGATACAGTTGGCCTCTGTGAGCCACAGGGATGGTTAACTCTCTTTCCCAGTAGAATCCATGTCTGTTAATGAGGAAGAGCTGATTCAGCTGGACAGTTGGCAGGTTGCAGCCTGGGCAGATGTGGTAGCATACCTGACCTTGACACTCATGGCTAATATACCCGCTCAGGTAGTGAGGAGGCACAGGGAAGCCTCTTCTATGAAGCACAGTACAGAGGATGAGGAAGGAGATGCTTATCTGCACTTTGTGCTTTATCTTGCCTCTCGCCTTGTGGCCTTGCATAGTCTGGCCACAATCCTTCCAGGCAGGGCTGATGTGTCAGTGAGGACCAGACAGCACAGACATCACAGAGCTTTAAAAGCAGAAGGGGAGGCATTTTGTCATAGAATCATAGAATGGTTTGGGTTGGAACGGATCTTAAAGATCATCTAGTTCCAACCCCCGTGCCATGGGCAGGAATAAGGAACTGTCCTCTGGGTCCAGTCACTTTCCAGGCTGTTTTCTCTCTAGAAGCCTGGACTTTGTAATACCAGCTTTTGCCACAAACAGCTGTTGTCATGAGGTAAGGCAGGATCTCTCTGGCTGGCCTTGGGGACCTCTGTGGGCAGGCACTACTCCTAGTCCTGAATATTTAAACTTGACACGCCAGGCAGCCTGGAGCCATGGCGGCAATGTTTTTTCTTGAACAAGCAGAAGTATTGCCAAAGTCAGGAGCTTCTAAATAGAGTGCTTTGCACCTCTTCCCCTTCTGTGAGGCTCTAGCATGCTCCCCCACTTGCTTAAAGCTGATTTGTGCCAAGAGGCAGGAGGCATGCATGAATGAAGGGCAAGAGAATGGGTGTGCATTCTGGGAATAGGCAGCAGCTCAGGTGAATCTCCTACCAGCTCTGTCATGTGTGATCTGTATTACCATGAGATGGCAGTTCAAGCTGCTCTCCAGTGAAATGGGACTGCTCATTTGAGAAGGAGCTGGGGGAATATTCCTGTATGAATGCGCAAAGAACTGCAGAGAGAGCTTCTGGGGGCTGGTTTCTCTGTGCTCTGACTCTGTTTCGTGAATCTTCCAGCTGGTATCAGGTTGGTTAAGTTTTGTGTTCTCCCAACCTGTGACTTTGTAGTTGTGTGGTAATTTCCATACCATGTGCCAAAGAGCAGCCTTGGACTGAATGTGGATGCCAGTGTGGCTGAGACTGTGAGAAGCACATGATACAATGGGGAAGGCACAGTGCTGGCAGCCAGAAGTTTGTGAGATCTGTCTTGGTTTTGGCTTTCCTAAAGTATTTAGCATTATATGCCTCACTTTGGTGTTGTAAGAAGTCACAAGTGTTTGCAGTCACACGGGACTGTTAATTAAGTGGACATAATTCTTTATGAATAAGACATGCTTTTTTACATTAAAGAAGAAAAAGGTATAATAATCGAATAAGGAGCTGTTGAAAATATGCATCTGTGCATATTTTCTGTGTAGATACTGCTTGAGCACTGCTCTCCTTGTTCCTTGATGAGGCCACACATGGTGAATGCTCATCCTTCTAAAAGCACTGATGTTATTTAAATATACATCATATATACATATAGGAGTCTTACATGATTCTTGGTGAACCCTGTAAAACAAAATAGGTTAAGATCTCTAGCTCCAGTGGTCTCACGGTCCTTGAGAATTTCTCAGCTAAATGGTCATTCTAGGAATATGGTGTATCTAAATGTTCAGAATGATGAAATTCTCTACGCTGATATACTGCAGATGCAGTTTAGACTGGAGGAAGAGCTCCAAGACAAATCAGACTTGAAGTTTCCAGCATGAGCTCTCTGAGGTTGCCTTGAATGCAATTAGTACTCAAGCTACTATTGGTGTTGTGTCTGTTTGCAGTATTCCAGTATTTCTTACAGGAGGTGTTTTCTCCTTTCTCTTTATAATAACTCACAAATAGCACATTTTTGAAAATGAAATCTTGGAAATACTGAATGTAGCTCTCTGTGATGATTAACCCATGTAATAACCATAAACAGATTTAGTTTAGGAATGAGCATAAGGGTAGAGGAGCTGTGGGAGGTCTGTTGCTGCTTCCGAGTGGCTCATGGCACTGAGTGCCACAGTGGATGGAAGAGAAGGAATCACAGGTAAAATACAAATGATAGCAGGAGGAAAATGAGCCTCCCAAGAGGGAAACTTTGTGGTTGGGGTTTTTTTGGGTGTTGGTGCAAGCCAGAGCCTTGAAGAACTAAGCCATCAAGAATGGGTATGGTTAGGCACTATAGGTAGGTGCAAGCCATATTATGTAGATGGCAGTTACTCCATCTTTTCCAGTTCCTTTACTAAGTCCTGCTCCTCCTTTTTTTTCTGAATATAACTCTTACTGATGTCCTTGACAACGCTATTTTTTCAGACCTCTACCATATATGAGACCTACTGTTACTTCAGCACCTCTGGCCTGCCATTAAGGACCTCTGTGCAGAGGGGACAGAAAACAGATGGCAACCACATCTCCTGTTCCCTTTCAAGTGCAAAGGGGTGAAGAAATGAAGTGGGCAAGGCACTGGGAATTGCTGCAGTAAGATCATGCAGAGGTGACTTGGGTGCAGGGCATCCAGTCTCTCCCTTTGCTAGATGACACCAGCTGTGAATATTGTAGTTGTAGTGTTCATGTCATGTTTTCTTAAAGAGCTGTCTAGGAACTTAATGTAAGCCCCCCACAAAACAGACGCCTCTTGATTAGGTTGTTTCTTTGATTCAAGAGTCACTTGGATGTGTCAGTTATCGTGAGAACTGCCTTAAATTCAAGCTTTTCTCAGGGATGCTTGTCCTGGGTGCTCCTGCTTCTCCCACAGACTTCTCCCTCTGGAAGCTGTTCAACTGAGAACAGATGTCTAGCCCTGGAATACTGTTCCCTGTGACACCAGAAGAAATGGAGAGAAGAAACCTACAAAGGCCGTGGCACATGCTTATATTCCTTTAGAAGCTTTTGTCATATCAATTATTGCTCTGCTAATAAAGTCCATGTGGGTTTTCTGAACAAATTCACTCTCTTTTGACTGGAATCCTGCTAAGTTAAAGTCGCTAATACCAGATAAGTGTCTGGGCAATCAAATACAAATTAAAGAAGACAAATTCAAAAAGAAGCCTTTGGCAGAGGTTTGCAGAACAGTGGGGAGACCACCATTGTCTTGGATGAGTCTCCTGCCTTCTGACTACTGCCTAAAACACCACATCTTTGGCTGTGTTGCTAAGGAAGGTCTAAGGGATTGTCACACTGTTGGAGGAGTGGGTGTGCCAATTTTGAGTCCACAGTAATTATCTGTTGTTGTTTTTTCTAGTGCCAAGGTCAGGTATTGAAAGCGACTGTTAACACTGGGTGTCTACCAAATCTCATCTCCAAGAGCTGTTTAAACCAGCTGGGGTAAGTCTTTGCACAGTAGAAAAGGAGGGGTGGCTAAAAGAAAACCTACGACAAGAGCGTAGGCACTCTTGATTCCCAGCCCCAATGATAATTACTAGCAGCTTTGCATGTGCACATGGCTGTTTAGGAGAAGATGCAGAGGGTGGGCTACAGGGAAAGGCATCAGGAGCACTGGCAAAGTTGTGTGCAGACCCTAGACTAGGAGGCAGAGCTGTGTCATTCTGTCTGTGTGTACTGCAGGGCAAAGCCCCAGCTTTGATTAGCCTCAGCAGTGAGGAACCCAAATGGACAGCGCCTTATGGTTTTGCTTGTGGAATCTGCCTCCAGACATGTTGTATGAAAGAGATTTCTCCTCTTGTGGGCCTGTTCCCAATGAGACCAAGAAGTATTGCCATCAGTGAGAAGTCCTGTTTTTCCTCCTCTTCCTCCACTTGAGGCAATAACACCTCTTGTGTCCCACAGGCTGGAAGAAGTGTCTGCCATGGACTGTGGAGACCTGTCTCTTCCCATCCCCAGCGTTGTTGGCCGAGTAGAACATATGGAGTTGCAATTTGGCCAGGAGACAGTGCTGTGTTCAGCACTGGTTGTAGGTGAGAGTGCCAGCCCCTCCTCTCCCCCAGTTTTCCTGTGTCCCTTTTGCCCTGCCAAGGGCATTTAAAAGGATCTCTGGGAAAAGCGTAATGCGGTGGGAGGTTGGTGATGTGGTCACCTCCACTGCTGGCCAAGACCATTATGCGCTGTGAATACCCTCAATGCAACCAAAGGCAAAGGGCATAGGAAGAGTACAGAGAAGACAGAAGATGTTGAAAGTGGGGAGAAATTAGGTGCTTTTTAGTGCTTTTTTTTCCACACGGGATGTGGAAAATTCTCATTTCCTTCTAAAATGGACCTTTCTTAAAATTATCCAGACTGCTTGATTAGTCGTCTGGTGCCCTATGCTCTCCCATTGAATGGGCACTTGTGTCTTTGGCTGGATGGAAGTCATCAGAGAAACCAACAGAGGATACAGCTCATTCCCCAGAGGGTTTCTCTGTGAACTCATCTGCCTCTGCTGCAGGGAGCACCCTGGAAGAACCTGGTAGCCCCAGAGTGCTGAGTCTCCCTCGGTGTCCTGAGGCAGGACCCTTTGAAGGAAGGAGCCGTAGGAGACAAGGTCAAGTCAGCAGGCACTGGAGCACGCCCAGAAACAGCAGAAAGGCTGCATGTTCTGCATTTACATCAAGCTGTGCATATGCTGAAAACAACTTGGTCGTCTTTTTTTTTTTTCCCCGTTCTTTCTCCCTGTTAATCTTCCAGCTTTACCCTCTTCCCTTTATCTGTCTCCTCACCTTTGATGATTACTGTTCATCTTCCAAGGCCTCCCTTGCTCCCTCTTGTCATGTCCATTTTTCCCACTTTACTAGTCATCTAGAAAGAGCTTCCTCCTCTTCCACACTCCAGCTCACTCTTCTTCCCTGGTTTCCCCTCTACTTGTTCTTGCCCTGCATGGGGAGGCTGTATTAGTACCAGCACAGGTGAATTTAGCCCAGTAGCACCTATCCATTTTGCTGGGATGTAGAAATGGCTACCTGGAAGGAGCACAATGGCTACATCGGTGCCTTACATCTCCCTGTGCACACAGTGCTCTTGCTTATGTGGTTATAAATAAATTATAAAATACAGCCACTGGTTACAGGGCAAGCAAGCATCCGGGAGATGTGGGAAGTGTTAATGATGTTACTGGTGGATGCTGAATCCTGCAGACTCCAGGACCTGGGGATTCCTCCTTGTCTGCCACTGAAGTCCAGATGGATGACTCTAAGACCCAGGAGGTCGCTCTCGCCCAATCCAATGCGTGTTCTTAGTGTCAGGTTCGGACAGTAGCAAGGCTGAACACATATTCCAGAGAGGCACATACAGAGATAACACAGACAAGGCCAGCCACATAGCTTACTACACATAGAGCAGTGCCTTTACCAACACTCACATAAACACCAGCACAGATAGCCCAGTCCTGGTCCTCCTCTCTGGCTGACCAGGATTGAAGCTCGCCAGCAGAAGCTCATACATCCTCAGTCTCTACATTCACAAGCATGCTCATATTCACAGTCTTCAAATAGCAGCACAGCTTCTAGGTCTGTCATATATCCATGTCTGGACCCTGGGCCCCTTACCTAGCCACTGAGCCAGACCTTGAGTCTTTCCAGGTGCAGGTTTCCTCCTACTCACTGGCTAGACTAGACTAGAGTTTGCTAGCTAATTATGTATACAAACCCACAATCATATATGATTAAATTCCCTGGGGAAATATAAACACGCCCAAGTCTTTCTAGTTAGTGGCATTTAGACCTCTCACACATATGCCCTGTCCTCTTCAGTTTTTTGGCTTATAAACCTAAGGCCCCAGGACCCTGGTCAGAGCTGGTACCCAGAGCTCTCTTGAATGCTGATCTCTCCAGTTGCTGGCACCTAGACCTACAAGCCCTGTGACCCATAGTCCTTCTCCAGTTAGTGGAACACTAACTGCAGCACACACTGCAGTCCCTCCAGTTGCTGGCACCCAGATGTATGAGCCCTGTGGCCTGTGCTCCCTTCCCCAGTTACGGGCACCCAGACTTCTCTTGAACACTGGTGCCTCTAGTTGCTGGCACCTGTGAGCTACGTCCCTTTCTCCAGCTGCTGACACAAGCCTATGGGCCTGTGATCCCTTCAGTTACTGTCACCTCTTGCATACCAGTCCCTCCAGTCGCTGACCTCTAGAGCTATTTGCCCTTTAACCTGTGGCGTCCGCTACACTTGCTGACACTTAAGACTTGCAGCAGTCACATGTAGGATAGAGAGGTTACACAGAAAAAAATTATTTAATAAAATTATTTAATAAGAAGATCGGATAGATTCCGGCCATCAGGTGCAGGGTTCGGTCAGACAAGTGAACTGACCAACAGCCTGCTTGCATGTGACTGGCCCCCTTATCCCCCCTCCTCTCCATTTTTCCATGCTTGTTCTTCCCTGATCCACCCTGCTGCTTGCCTTCTCCTGCCTTTGGACCTTCTCCTACACAGCCCATAGTAAGTTTTACATGATCCCACAAGCCCCTTCTGATATCTCATAGTAAGTTTCAAACAATCTCACCCCCCCCCCCCAAATATCTCATAATACTCATGATAATAATGGTTCCCTCCTCTTACTGGCTATGAAGTTCATTTTGACCCTCTTCAGGGCTGTGCCTAAGTAGCTTCTTCAATGGCTCATCAGTCAGTGGCAGAAGAGTGCTGGTCTTTGTTACTGTCACTGTTACCACCTGCTTGTTAACATTTGCGTGTTTAATTCGTCACTTTCCTTGTTATTTGTTATTTACTTTATACTGAATAGACCATAACCATATAACTTTATGAACCAGACGCTCTTGTATTCCACATCCTCTCACAGGAGAGACACACTTTCTTTAGAGGGGGAGGATATATACTCTGAGCCTGATCAGTCTCTTCTCTTTTCTCAGATGATGAAATGTTGGAGTTTTGCATTGGTCTCCAGACTCTGTTGTCTCTCAAGGTAAGGAACAGCTTCTTGCTTACTGCAGGGCTCCTCTCAACCAGTTCTCCAAGATTTGGTTGCTGGAAGCATCAGAAATACTTACAGCCAGGTCTTCCAGGGTGCCTCTTGCAATGCTTGTTACACAGCTGCCTGGCTAGCTGCAGTATGCTCTGAGTCACTGATTCCTTCTTAAAGGAATCACCCAATAGGATACTATCACATCTCCCATTCTTTGTATTCCTGACCATAAAAGTTGCAACCAGGAAGAGGAAACTGAAGAGGAGATTAGAAAAGGCAAGGCACACTGTGTCACGAGTTATATCTGTGTTGCCTTTTGAAGGCAGATGTGAACAAGCTCTGACCTTGCTTTGAGCCAAACGAAGCTGTGTGATCGCATTCAGTATCCAACACCAGCTGGACACGGGTGGAAAGAGTCCTCTCCTTTTGTCAGCTCAGCTCAGCGAGTGCTCTGGTGAGCCTGGCTCCTGGGTGGCTCAGAATATGGCTGCAGCAAGGTTGCTCCTGCCTATCAAATATTTGTAGCCACATGTCAGACTCATAAAGCAGGAAATGCATTGGACTGAATGGCTGAGTGATCACCTCAGAGGGAGTCACAGGAAGAAGAGAGGGGAATGGCACTGTGAAGGGTTTGGAGAGGAATCCATTGAAGGGAATAGGAGCAAGGAGGCAGCATGGGGAACACGGAGGGGAACTGTAAGGTCTCTACAAACCCAAAATGGCATTGTTTGATGATTATACAGGTTTTCCCCAGTCATAGGCATCATGAGATTTGCTGTCTGAAATGTCCAGCAAGTAACCGGCTCTCCCCTTCTTTAGTGTTGCATCGACTTGGAGGAAGGAGTCCTGAGATTTAAAGCACTGAGTCAAGAGCTGCCTTTTCTACATGCCTCTGAAGAGCCTGGTCCGTGACTTGTTCCATTCCCCACATCTGGGGCTGAGGAGACTTGCTGCCATGAGAGAGAGATAAGGGTGAGGCTCACATGCCCCTAACCTTGCTGAGTTCTAGGCTCAGGCATTCACTGAGAAGTGAGAAAAAGGCAAATGGGTGCTGGTAGCTGTTGTTGCTGGGAGTGCCTCATCTTGAGAGCTGTCCCTCCTTTCAGTGGACCCTCTTGCTTGTCCCCATGTGCTGAGTGGGTGTTTTGTTCTTGTTTTTCTGTCCATTCCTAGTCACTCCAATTTCTGCTTCTGTCCTAAAGTCACTCTACCCTGTTATTGACTTATTTTTACAATACCCTCTGTTCACGAGACAAGAGAGTCTCTGTGAACAATCTCCAGTTGTTCTGTGGACAGCACTTTCTCCAAAAGCCTCCAAAAGATTGTCATGAATGTTTCCCTTCTCTTTGCCTCGATGTGAGTGGATTCCACTCCCCTTTCTTTGTGGGAAGGGCTCTGTGGCCAGTCCCCTCACCTGTACCCTGGGAAGCTGGATTTTATTACTTTTTGCTGGCTCAGAGCAGAACGGAAGTATTTGCTTGGAAAAACCTTGCAGCAAGAACACTTTTAGAGTTCTTAATTCTAAGAAACATTTGCAGAAATGCTGAACGTAGATGCCTAGAGTACAGTGGATGGATACTCACAGGGGCTTGGGCTTTGCCACTGCATCCTTGGCCACTAAGCTATATTATATGAATAGCAATGCTTATCATCGCTTAGTGTTATATGTAGTAACCAGACTTGCACACGCTGTTCTTCTGACCAGGCCTCTCCTCTCTGCACTCCAGCTGCTAGAGCTACATTCCTATCACCTCCGCTGCATCATCAGAGATCCTGCCGCTCAGCCTAAATGCTGCGATGAATTACAGCACCCAGAGTCTTCTGCTCTGTCAGCTCCTTTCTTTCAACTTGAAATCTAGTGACTGGACACAGATACACCATCAGCCTCAAATCCCGGCATCCCACAGCCCATCAACTTTGCTACTCCTGCATGAAACAAGAACTAGACTTCCTTGCAGTGTCAGCTCAGGTCAGAGAACTGTGAACTCATCTGGAATGACCAGGGTGATTATTAAGTCACTTAATTGTTGGGGATTTTTAATTATTTTTTTTTTAAATTTCTTTAGTTTTTTAACAGAGCATAGCTGTATGATGAACACAGTCTATTCTTTACTAGCTCTACGAAAGATGCACCAGATCAGAGCTTGGTCCATGCCTCATGACTACTCACTATCCAAACTATACACAACCCTTAGAATGTCATGACATCCCCATTTTGCCTATGTAAAAAAACCCCCTAAACCTGACCCTAAATCTAGCCCCTAAAAGTGACCCTAACCCTAAAATTAACCTCTAAAAAACTCATAACCCTAACCTTAAACATTAAATGCTAACCCTAACCCCTAATCCTAAACCCTAGCCCCTATCCCTAAAGATAACACCCTAAATCTAACCCCCTAACTCTAACCACAAAACCCTAATCCCAAACTCTAACCCCTAACCCAAGCCCAATCCCTAAACCTAACCTGAACACTAACCAGTAAACCTGACCCTAACGCTAAACCTTAACACGAAACCTAACCCCTAACCCTGACCCTAACCCCTAACCGTGAAAGTTAACCATAAACCTAACCACCTAAATCTAACTCTCTAATCCCCAAACTCTACCCTTGTAACCATAACCCTAATACCAAACCCTTAACGTAACAATAACACGTAACTCTCAACTCTAACACTAATCCTATCCCTAAATGCTAACCCTAAACCCTAACCCTAAACATAAACCTTAAGCCTAACCCTAAATCCCTAAGCCTAAACCTAATCCCCTAACCCAAAACCCCTAATCCTAACCCAAATCCCCTAATCCTAACCCAAATCCCCTAACCTTAACTCTAACCCCTAACCCTAACCATAAACCTTAAGCCTAACCCTAAACCTAATCCCCTAACCCAAAACCCCTAATCCTAACCCAAATCCCCTAATCCTAACCCAAATCCCCTAACCTTAACTCTAACCCCTAACCCTAACCATAAACCTTAAGCCTAACCCTAAACCTAATCCCCTAACCCAAAACCCCTAACCCTAATCCAACCTCCCTAACCCTAACGCTATCTCTAACCTAAATCCTACCATATCCCTCACCGCTAACCCTTAACACAACTCTTAAACCTGACTCCTAACTGCAACTCTAAACTAAACCTAACTGTAACACCTAACATAAAAACTAGCCACAAAACCTAACACTAAATGTTAATGCTAATCCTAGCCCCTAACCCTAACAACTAATCCTAGCCCCCGGCCCCAACCCCTAAACCCTAACCCTAGCTCCCTAAATCTAACCACCTAACTCTAACCCACTTATTCTAACCCCCTAAACCTAATTCCAAAACCTAACCCTAATCCTAAACCTAACATTAACTCCTAATACTAAACCCTAACCCCTAAACTAAACCCTAACCCTATCCCTAACTCCTAAGCCATAACCCCTAACTGTAACCCTAACCCTTAAACCTAAACCCTAAGCTGCTAAATCTAAGCCCCTAACTCTAACCCCCTAAACCTCACCCCAAAACCTAAGCCTAATCCTAAAACTAATGCTGAATCTAATCCCTAACCCCATCTCTAACTCCTTACTCTAACCCTATCCCATACCCCTAACCCTGTCTTTTACCTGAACCCTAACATTGCAGAGCATCTGAGGGCTTTTGCCAGTGCCCACAAGGAGCCCTGCTTCCCTCCGGAGCGCCCCAAAGGTTTAGCCAGTCTCTGTGGAAGCCTGCAAGGGGCCCTACTGCCTTCCAGAGTGCCCTGGGGCTTTTGCCAGGCTTTGCGAGGTCCACAAAGGACCCTGCTTCCCTCCAGAGCACCCCAGGGCTTTTGCCGGGCTTTGCTGACACCCAGGCAGGTCTCTGCTGCCTTCAAGATTGTCTGACAGCCTTTGCCAGGTTTTGCTGGTGCCCACAAGTGGCTGCCAAGGGAAGGTGAGGGCCACGAACAGCTTTCAGTCCTGGCCACTTCTGTGTGGGAGCCCTAGGTGGTGGGTGTGCATTTTGGAGCTGCGCTTTGGTGCGGGTGAGGGGGCAGGTGAGAGTTAGGGGGAAGAGCCAGTGCAGAGCCCCAGTGCTGGTGGGGCTGTGAAGGGGCTGCCAAGGGAAGGGGAGGGCCACCTACAGCTTTCAGTCCTGGCCACTTTTGTGTGGGAGCCATGCCTGGCAGGTGTCTGTTTTGGAGCTGGACCCTGGCTAGGGTGAGGGTGTAGGTGAGTAGGACTCTTCCTGAACTCAGACTGAAGCCAACAGGAATCCTTCCAATGATTTAAAGGGTCCTGGATGGGATCCTACAGAAAATTGGCACAACTCTGAGCTGATAATTTTACTTTGACTAGTGCTGTCACTTACAGCCCTGCAGATACTTGCACGCTAGCTACTGCTGGAATTCACCAGGTGCTGTTCTTACATGTCACTCTTGGGATAATTCTGCTTTTGCTCACCTTCAGAACACCCTCCAGTCCTTCTGAAGCCTTTCTGTGATTCACATGCCTCATTTCTCAAATCACCAGTAGTTCACGTTTCTCTGCAAATTAACGTGCTACAGTAGGTGAAAATCACCAGCCCTATCTGTCCCTCTCTTCTCGGCATAATGAATCATTCTTTGCATGCTCCTTACCTTCCCCCAAGCAAATAATTCCTTCTTCCACTGGTAAGTGACAAATTTGCTTCTTCCAAAAGGAATTCTTACCTTCTTAGATAAACCTTTTAACACTTCCCTGTACCCTAGTTGCTAATACTCTCTCACGCTGTGCCACTATCTTGCCAGCCTTTCCTCTTTGTTCGTAACAATTGCATGTATAAATGTAGACTGTGCCACTTGCCAGTCACAGGGAGGATGTTTCCAAGCAAGCACTGAATTAGCATCTGAGAGCTCTTCTTTTCAGCTGTGAAATCAGCTCCAGAGCAGAAGACATGCTTTTCACCTTCCTCCTGTCCATCAGTTGAACACGCAGGCCCACACAATAAAGGTCTGTTCCACCCAGACACTGAGGAAGCTGTTGCCAAGTTATCCTAGAACCTCCCCATCAAGCTTTGTTGCAGGCAGAGCTTACAGAAAAAACCACATTTATATGACTAAATGAGAACTGCAGATCATAACACGATGGCTGACACCTCACTCCAACTCATTCCCCAAATCACAGTCTAATCCTACAGTGTCAGTACCTGGTTTCCTCATCATCAAACAGAACTCCTGGTGGGTTTCCATCTCCCAAAGTTCCTTGGCATTAAATGACCTGTTGTTACTGACCTTAACAGAAGTATTCTGAAATCTTGCCCAAACCGGTGTTTTCTCCAAAGACCAACATTTTTGTGTCATTACATGGGAATCCCAGCTTCCATTGTGAAAGACAGAAATCTTATCTTTAAAAAAATGTGATTATAAAACAGGACTTACAGCTCAAAGAAGCAAACTTAACCCCATCTACAAACATGGTAATTTTTAAGTCTTCCTACGTTAGGGAGCCCAGTAATTTTTAAGTGCATTGGCAAGGCTGAAGACTGTCTCAATTGCAGTTTCTTTTGGAAAAGCCTATTATATAGATACATTTCCCTACCCCCAATTCCAGTCATCTCTATTGCTTTTGGGGCACAAGGGGAAGGAAGGAGCTATCCAAAGGTCTTTTCCACTGGAGATCAAAAAAATGCTAATGCTTTCACAGAGAAAGTAGAAATTTAGTACAAACCGCCACCTCAGAGCAGGACATAGGCACATCCTGTATGTGTTCCGCACTGGCTTTCTCATTATGAGGCCCATCCCTTCAATACAGACAACTGAATGTTATTATTTTAGGGATAATCTCTCTGAACTGCCTTGGTGGTCAGCTCCTACTAGGGCTACTTTCCAGTAGAGCTGACACAGCAGTTGTGAAACAGTCTGCAGGGAAGTGTCTGTCAAAAGTCTTTGGAACAGAAAAGCAAGTG